CTTGGTCTCCTGTGGAAAAACACTTCACTCGATACTTCAGGAAGGAAACGAGGCAGGGAGTATGGGGTGCCCAGCTCAAGTCCCAGCAAAGGGCAGAGGGCATTGCAGAGCATCTGCCCACACTGTCTTTACACTGCATCTGCACAGTGAGCAGCACACAGTCATGAATATTGGATGTCACTTCAATGAGTATCATAGAAACATAAAACATCCCAAGTCAGAAGGGACCCACATCGTATCCAACTCATGTCTCCGCACAGCAACACCCAAATCTAAACCCTATGTCTGTATGTGCTGTCCAAACATTCCTTAAACTCTGACATCCCAGGGCCATGCCCACCGCCCTCTGAGGCAGAGCCTTTCCCCAATATCCAACCCAAGCAGGATACATAGCAGGACCTAATTTCTACCACAGATGCTTACATATCTGTATGGGAACTGTTGATCACAGCCTGAATCTCTGATTGACCACCTGAGGCAATCACAGAGTCAGCCGCGGGAGCACAGCTGAAAGCAATTCACCTGTGTGACCAGGAGGGGGTGGAGCCTGGCTCCACGTCTCCTCGACCCCATTTAAGGACTGACTGCCACTGAGGAAAGATCTCTTTCTGGAGGTTGCTCCTTGTGGAGTTTACTGTAAGTCTATAACATGAGCATTTTCATTTATTTTGATCATCTTTCCACCATGATAATCTTATTGAGCCTAACATCTGTATGCTTATTGATCTTACATCTTACCAAGCCTAACCTCTGCATGCTTATTGACTATACACACATCCCATTGGGCTTCTGATCTAAGTGTCTCTGGAAATCTGCTCCTTGATGTCTTACATCTGACCCAATCACTCCCAGCTGGACACTAGGCTGCTTCATCACTTAAACAGCAGGCAGCACAGTGGTGGGGAGCAGGAACGATGTCAGCTAACCAGGTCAGAGCTGGTTACTCAGTCTGCAGTTTTTCATGAGGCCAAAACAATCACCTTCCTGCCCAGTTCAGCAGGAATTTATATTTTGCATCACTGCTATTTCCATGCAGTTTAAATGGTGAATGGCTAAAATGTACTTCTTGCTTCTAATTTATGCAAATTCCATTGGATCTCTCCCAGCTGCGTGAAGAGATCTCTGCCCGCTGGGTACCAGTAGTAGTTGTGAGAGAGTGGAGAGGGGGTGGGGGGATGCAGAGAGTGATGCAGGCAGATAGCAGCAGAGTGGTGTCAGGGGATGACATTAAACAGCCCTAAGGGCAGTCCTGCAGGCTGGCCTCCATTAGCAGTGGGATGCTTGGGGAGCTCCACCTGCATGTGCAACAGTGAAAGATAAGAAAGTAAGTCCCAATAATTGGGATTTTATTTCATTGTTGTTTCCTGACACATCCTTTTTGCATTTCAACATGACAGATGGGGCGTGGAATAATGTCATTGCACGGGAAGTGGATGCACTGACACAGTCTCATGCAACAAATCCGGGGAAGGGAAAGTAAGGGATGAAAGCAAGATACAGCTGGCAGCAAGCAGGAGAATAACAGCATTCCCCTGAAATATACATACCATACATACGTCTCCGGTATATATCCCCCTACAGATATAATGATTTTGCACATGTGAGTCCTTAATATCAATCTGGCTTGTGTTTTTTTTAAATTTATTTTATTAATAAGATTTTCATTAGCCACTATTGAATCTGAGATTTGTATTCAAGAAAGGAAACGTCTCCATCATCTCCTCTGATGTCACCCCAGAGAGAAGATTAGAAGATTAGCTGTGTCAGCTGACACCAGCCCAGCGGCAGCAAAAATAATTTTGCACATTCAAAGAGAATGAGAGAGAAATTCCTCCAAGAAATATAAGCCTGACAGTGGCAATTGTTGGCTCACTACAAGAACGCTTTGTGCAAATGTGCAGATATACAGTAAATAAAATAAGGAGATCAAAGACTTGGAAGAAGATTTGTCTTAAGGAAGAAATAAGCGGATGGTCTCAATCTCAGCGGTGTTTTGGTCTCACCTGATTTACAAGCAGTTGCCTTCCTGGGGTATGAGTTACAGAAGGCCATTGAAATTACATCAGGAAATATAAATGCTGCATCGGAAAGATAAAGTTGGAGGACCGAGGCAGAATTTTTCTCATCAATTTGTGGGAGATATTCATGCATAGCACAATTAGTGTTAATGGGATTTCCCTCTGCTGATGTTCCAGATGTTAATGAAATGCCTCATGATGAACATAAAAAGCAAAAGAGAAAGTCTACAACTAGGTTTGATCTTGATTTCTCTGGATTTAGTGGCATTAATGTGGGCTATTTCAGTGGAACTGAGGTTTGCACAGCTGAGCGTGGCTGTGTTCACTCTGCATAGATCTTGTGGAAAAGGGAGTGTTGAGCTCTGAATGTAAATATTATGGTATCAAGTTTGGGTTTGCAGAGAATGTGAGTCTTGCAAACCTGATTTGGCAGCTGCAAAAATAACACTCCGGCAAACAGATGTTCTCTGTGATGAGGGAAGTCTTTATAAGATTCACAAATTAATGAGCTCTGCCAGGTTTTTAGTGGTTCCTACCAGAATTCCTATAAATCAGCCTAGCTGAGTAAGGAGGCAGGGATGAGAGGAATCAATAACCTCACCGAACAGCCTGTATAACCATGGTTAGCTGACAAAGGACTTCAGAGCTGGGAAATCCCAAGAGGAATTAAGGAGGTGCAATATCATCCTTCCTGAAGGCAAGAGCCGCAGCATAAGTTGTGAGCTGTAAGTGCTCCGGGGGCTAATTGCAGCTAGCAGCAATCAAGGATATTGGCTCAGCAATGAGGAGATGTGAGGTGTCAGCACTCTGTGTTATTGGCTCATCCTGGCAACACTGCAGTGGGGGAAGTGAAGCTCCCTACTTCACCTGCAAGTCGATAACACAGCTATCAAGGGATTGTGTTCCCACCTGCCTTCAGTCCTGATAGAAACCAGCCCTGAGTTGCACGTTGCCCAGAGGAGTGGTGGAGTCACCATCCCTGGAGATTTTCAAGAGCTTTGTAGGTGTGGCACTGAGGAACATGGTTTGGTGAGCACAGCGGGGATGAGTTGACAGATGGGCTAGGTGATCTTAGTGGTCTTTTCCAAAGTTAGCGATTCTATGATTCTAACACAGAATGGTTTCAAGAGTTGAAGACATTCCCACCTTCAAAATACTGCCTCCCAAATGCTAGTCTTAACCTTGTGAATTTCTGCCTACTTAGAGTTGTATCAAACTTAGAAAGAAGATTTCACCAGCCCAGCATAAAACACACCATGAAAATTGTCACTGCTAATGGTAGCCATGGTGGGTCAACAAAAGGTCCAAGTTTCATCCTGTGCTTGTAGAAGGAGCGAACTACACTCCAGCTGTTGGCAAATACACACCCTAGAATGGGATTGAACAAGCAGCAGGTGATGGGCTGTGTAATCATGGCCAAAATCACAGCTGACAAGCACTTCTCTTGCAACCTTGTACTGTGAAAAATTGTCTGGGATTTCCTCCCCATAGGCATTCCTCTGTCCTGTGTTTTCTGCAATAGCCGGCAGCAGAGTGAGCACCAGAGAGCAGCAACAATTTCTGTCCAATCTCTCCACTCATCTGCTCCACCAGGCACTGTTTTCCCCAGCACTGGGTGTGGGCCTGTTGGGTAAGGAAACAGAATTAATTAAGGAATTGCTAATGGAATCAGACCTGAACAGCAAGGAAAATTATTTATTAGGTTATCTATGAATGCAACACAATGTACTTTACAATCCACTTTCATTTGCTTCTTTGCAATCATTTGTCAAGGGCTTCTGCCAGCAGGAATGACCAGAGAGGAGCTATCATTTGTGGTCACATGGGAATGCCTCCACCTCACAATAAACACAGCTACAATTAACGGAAGCAGTGACCTTGTTGGCAATTTCTGCAAAGAGGACAAGACTCCATGGGAATAACAAATAAAGCAGATTATTATCACTTAGGTGACCTTTGTGAGTCACACTGGGGCTGGAATGAGTTGCAGGGGCCATCTCAAGGCTCCTGCTGCCACCATAAGGAGAGGTTCCCAGGGAAGGGATTTTCCCCAATGTCACCCATCATGGGTGAGGGGCAAGCAAAGGAATTCATGGAACCAGGCTGTCTGACTGCAAAAGTGAAAGTTGCAACAATGCCAACATAAAAAAAAAAAAAAAAAAAAAAAAAAAAAAAAAAAACCTTTTCAGTCATTGCTCATGAAAAATCCGAGAATCTCAATTTTTCCTTTTTTCTAGAAATCCCAGTAAATGGAAAAATATTTTTGCCCAGCAGGCTGATCACTTAGGGGTTTTGGTTAGGAGCAGCTGCTACAGGACTGCTGGAAAAGGGGCTTCAGGTACATGTGTCCTTTCACTTGCTTAGCCAATCACAGCTTCTGCCTGGCCAGGATGCACACTGAAAGGCTGCAGGCACTTCGGTGACTCTTTTCAAGATACTCAATGCTGCTGCAGCAAAGTGCTTCTTTCAGTGCACAAGCAAATGCCACAGCCTGCCCAAGGAAGAATATATTTCAAATTGTAGGGGCAATAATCCTTGTGATTTCCTACTTTGGTGCATGAAGCTGCTGTTTCTTTCTCAGACCTAGCTCCGCTCCAGGACTGGCTGTCTCCTGTTTTCATTTCTGTACACAGACATCACAGCTTGCTGCATGGGGCAGCCAGGGGAATCCCAGGCCTTTAATACCAGCGAGGCCAAGAGTTTCCATCCTGGGCAGTCTCTTGGCCCCAGGGCTGCCCCTTCCAGAGCTAAGTTGTGCCTGTCCATGAGCCCTTAGCCCAGGCACACCACCATGCTGTCCTTCTCACCCTGGCCTGGATCCAATCCTCACCTATTGTTTTATTGATCTGCAGAAATGACTTGAGCTGCTCAGGGATTCTGGCATTCCTGGGGCACGCTGTCAGTGCATAGCACCAAACATTTCATTACAAAATTACACTTAAATTTACAAAACTTTATTAATGATAAAATATTAAGCTTACAAGGAATAGATCAAAGAAATACAAAGGCTGCAGAACTGAAATTTAATCCATCATTGATCTTTTAGTTAGGAAAGTAGCAGAGGCCCAAGAGCAATCTGTCTCACAGCAGAGCCCACATCTAAGGAAACACCACTTATGAATCACAGAATCATAGAATCACTGAGGTTGGAAAAGACCTCCAAGATCCTCCACTCCAACTGCACACCCAGCACCAGTATTTCCCCTTTAAACCATGTCCCTTAGTAGAACATATATGGTCAAATGTCAAGTTGCTTTTTTTTTTTTATTATTTTTATTTATTTATTTATTTATTTTTTTTTTACAAAGTGCAGTGAGGCAATCGTATTTCTGTTTGGAGTTTTTCCTCAGAGGGAAGGAAGAGTAAGCCAAGCAGTTTTCCTTTCAGTATGCATGCATTCAGAAACAGCTGCTCAGTTCCCAAATGTTATGGCTTTCTTGTCTCCCCATGGGCACAGCATCCCCAAACACCTGCTTCCTCTGAGAGCCCCTGGAACCTCAACACCACGGTCTGAGGAAAGTGCTTGGCTTTGTGCTTTCCTGCAGCTTAATGTCCCTTTTCATCTCAGTTTCCTCAAGTAACATGACTTGCACAGTCCCTTCTGTAATAAGTCCCACACCTGCTGGCTGGTTCCAAGATCCTACAGCTTTCAGAAGACAGTAGTGGCTCAGAATGGGGATGAGATTTGCCTGGTTGAAGACTGCTGCACCAGAGAAAGGCTGTTAGCATAAGGGGGTTTCCATCAGCCCGTGTGCGTGGCCATGCAGCACAAGCAGCACCTTAATCCCACATGGATGGGTAATGGGGCCACGGATTTGAGATTAGTGGCTGCCAGGGGGAGAGGATGGTGGGTGACCACCGTGATGTGCTGGGGTTGTGATGGATAACCCAAGGGGCAAGCTGGTGTTACCGCAACCAGAAAGACAGGGCACAAAGGGAGGACAAAAAAAATTTCACCTTCCGCATTTCCATTTGCTAGCCCTCCACACTGCTCAGGATGGGGAGGCACAGCTCTTGCTGCAATCCCTGCTGCCCAGCTGTTTCACCAACCTGCCCTGCCACCAGAGACCTCAGAGCAGAGACTCAGCTCCTCTCATGGCTTCTTTCCATTTTCCTGCTCCCTGCTATTTATTGCTCGGTGGTGCTCGGGACAGGAATGCAGACCCAGCAGGCTAAGTTTAGTTCATGGCTCTGACAGAGATTTCTTCCCTGACACTAAACAAGAGATTAAATTTCTGTGCCTCAGTTTCCCTCTGTAAGCCATAGATAGCAAAGTTTCCCTTTGTAATCCATCCTAGTTCAGAGCTGCTTTACGATGCTTGTTTTTGCTCTGTGTATTATTGGAATTCCTGTCCCCACTGAGCTCTTGGCTACTTCTGTATTTAGTACTTCCATGTGTTTCATCGAGGGTCTTGTTACAGTTTTGATATTGTGTACAACATACTGACCAGAGTTGAAGTAAAATTCTTCCCAGTATTATTTTCTAGTTTGTATGGATTTTCACTTGAATGGTAATTCTCTAACAAATTAATCTGGGATTGTTTTCACAGTTCTGGAAGCAATGTGGGCACAGAGAGCATACCACAGAATCACAGAGCTGTAAGATTTGGAAGGGACCTCTGGAGGCCTCTGAGTACAGCCTCTCTGCCAAAGCAGGTTCCCTACATTAGGTTGCAGTCACACTGCAAGCACACATCTGATGTGCCACCTACCGTCACACCTTGCTCTTGTTGCTCACACCATCCCTTCCCTGCCCAGCCTGCTGACCACCTCTTCCAAGCTGTGTTGCCACCAAGTGCATTTGGTTGCATTTTTCCCAAGGCAAATCTCCTTGTGTTATTTTCTGCCTGTGTTTCTAACCTGGCTACTTCCCTTCATGCTGTCCTTTTATGTCCTAACCAGCAGGTACATACCTATTTTATTATCATCTTCTAGGAAAGTCATTAGCATTTTACTTCCTTCTGCTCATCAGCAATGAAGATGTCAGCCAAGACAGGTCTGATGAAGATGGCAAGGAGGAAGAAAGAACTCCTGTGGGAATAACATCTGTGTTGCAGCCCTTCCTGTAGGACCCTTTGGAACAACCTGCTTTTGGAAATGTAACCAGAGCAGTACCCATCAGTACTTTGGGACTGAGATGTCAGGAGTCTTTTCTTGCAACAAGAAAAGAAAGACTTTTATGTATGAGCTGAAGACTTGGCACAATGTTGTCTCTTTAAAAATATTATCCGGCAACACATTACAAAGCAAACCTCTTCTATCACATCCATATTTCATCTGCACCTCAGAATTGTAATTAATGGCACAAGAGGCTCCATATGACAAGGTGTCCTCAGGGCAGACTTTTTATCTACATCAACAGTGCTCTCTGCTACGGCTTCTCTTGGCAGAATTTTTCTTTTGGTGCTCCCTTGCAGAGATGCAATCCACATTCTTCTCTCTGCTGATGAAAATCTCCCTTAGATACAATAAAACTAAAGAGAGCAGTTTCTCAAAGATGGAAGAAGATGCACGAGGACACACATGAAGTGAGGTGAAGAGAAAACCCATTTGCAAAGCCTGCCTTGCTTGGGTGAAGCAAGCACTAATTCAGACTGAATATGATCTAAATTAAACACCATGCAGCACCAGCAACCCAAAGGCAGATGATCCGATTTCACTGAAGCTATGCCAGGACTGAATTTGACCCTCAGCATTATGTGGTATCTACATTTATGGCCAGGAAATCTGAAATACACATGTACACCCCAGCACAGGTACCCTGGTTGTGGCTGATGCTCCAAAACATTCAGCTGCTCCTCAGCACCCCTGGCAAATATTTTCGGTGGTCATCTACCCCCATCTTCAGGATGTGGCTTTCTGAAAATGTGAAGAGTGATAAAGTAATTGTGCTCACGTAATAAATGCTGGAGGGACCATATTTTTCCTAACCATTTCAAAGGCAGAAATAATAACCAAAAACAAGTGCTAACCTTCATGTAAGGTCTGTTTGACATAACAGGCACCACATGCTGAACCCATCCCAAGGCAAATCAACCCACAGCAGGATGGAACTGCACAGAAATTAACACCAGGAAGAACCAGAGTGCAATGAACCACAGGATCCCATGGATTTTTAGACACTCAATTACAGATCTTAGGCTATTAGCCTAAGGGTCAACACTCACAGCTTGGCCTTGTACAGTTTTCTCAGCACTTTGAATACCCAGAAGTAGAGTTTCGTGTTGTTGGGTTGGGTTTTTTTTTTTTTTTTTGGCTGCATTTGCTCTGTATTGAATTATTTCTTCTGGAATACAACAAAAGCTAATACTTCTAACTCTTCTTGTACTTTATTGGGATTACTGATAAGTCAGATGCGGGGTGGTTCTGCAAGTTTGGTTAGTTAGATGTGGTTTAATAGAACCACAGCCCAAGCCTGGCTTTTTGTTTGGCTCTTCTAGATTACATCGGGATTTAATTTGTCAGGTTGTTGTTTGTTTTTTTTGTTTGTTTGATTGGGTTTTTTTTTTTGTTATTGTTTCTTGGATCTTCCAAGCAAAAATTTCATTCCTTTGGGTAGCTTTTCTCCAGTTTGTCATCCATTACCTACAACTCTCACTATACAATTCTGCAAAGTGCTGTCTCATATTTTTACCCCTATTTTTAGAAATAGTCCTTATATGAAAAGCATGACTGAATTTGTAGACACTGAATGTTGCAGGACTGGCATTGCACAAGAATAAGGTGACGTATTAAGCCTTGAAATTCATAGATACCTGATGTTTCCAAAATTACTTCCCAAACCTGCACTGACACAGATGGTGAGGTGTCACAGGCTGTTGTATTAGTGATGAACAATACATGAAGGAGACAAGCATCAGTATTGCACGTGGCCTCATTGGATACCTCCTGCATCCACATTTGTCCGTCCTGGAGGATATCTTCACCACCAGTGCCAATAGGAAGATCTGCTCTTCTGATGGATGTCAGTACCGGTGCCCGTGGACCTGCTGACAGGCCTCAGCTCTCCCAAGTCTCCCTCCATATGGCCAGCTGGTTCCTCTCCTCTCTAATCTCACATCGCTGCACTCAACCTTCAGCATGTGCCACCACTTGTTTATGCTGTGCCTCTCTAACTAGGAAAGAAAAAAAAGCAATGCCGATGTGATTGAAGATAATGAGCTGCTGATTAGCACTGGAGAACACAACAGAAAACATTTCATTTAAATTGCCTTTCTTGTTGAGTTAATTAAAATAAAACACAAAGCTTCTCAGCTTCATTATGGTGCCTGCTTGGCTCAAAGCAGTGAGGCTAAACAGGTTTGCAATTAATATGTGTAGCCTTCCACCTGCTATTAGCATAACAACAGAGACTAACAGCACCTTTCCGACTGGATTCTCTGTGATTCAGTGCCGCCGGACTACTGACATCCTCCTACAGCACCCACACGAGCTGTGGGAGATGCGTGCCTGCCTGCCTACCACTCGCCCCTGTGCACTTACATTCTGCTTTATGTAGTACTTCCGTACCTCCCATCTGCCCGATAAGCCAGTTAGGTCTTTGTTTAGGAGGCTGTAAAAACTTCGGCTGGAGCATTAAGGGTGGTTTCCGACCTCAGCCCGATGGTTCATAAGGTCCGAGGACAGGTTTGAAGTCAGTCGGAGCAGCACTGGCGTCTGTAAGGCCATAAAAACGCGAGTGATGCTCACGGTTTTCAGACGATCCCTTTCGCTGTGCGCGCAGTTCCCTACGAGCGCCTCTGAACGCTGCGGATATCTGTGACTGCCCTCTCCTGGGCAACAGCGGCGTTGCCTTAGTGCGTATTCTTCCTAACAATCAGGCGTCAAACGTTAGACCTACAGAAAATTAACACTGCTTTGTTAATTTAGAACTGTATATATGCTACATACATACAATATACATATACTATAAAATAAACTATAATGTATAGCCAAGAGCACAAATACCTGAATTGTCTGCCTGGTTTCTACACACCTCTTCTTCATACAGTGATTCATAGAGACATGTTCTTTTTCTGTTCACCAGTATTATCAGCTTTTTGTTATTATTGTCATTTTTTAAATCAGCTAAAGGTTCAGTCCCAATCTAAGCAACATTCCTTCTCTCACCTACAAATTAATCATAACAATGACAGGATCAAGAGAAAATGAAAGACTCTCATGGGCCTTTGCAAATTGCTATCTGTTTTCTAGCAGTTCCATCACAAAGCAGAAATAGAATTTGATCGCATACAACTAAGAAAAGCTAGAATACAGTTAGAAGAGTGGCATGGTTAGGATAGCAGGTTTGTAGTCAAAAAGATTATTGTGATGGAAAAAGACAATAAAAAATGAAATACTCACCCCCATCCCAGGCTCACAAGAGAAAACTCCAGAAAAAGATCCTTCCCCAGTAGCAGTCAGTCCTTAAATGGGATCTAGGACCCTTCCAGTCACACAGCTGAATTGCCTTCACCCTTGTTCCCATGGCTGACTCAGTCCTTGTCTCAGGTGATCAATCAGTGATTTAGGCCATGACTCAACAGTTCCCGTACAGGCTGTAGTGAACTAAGTAATTGATACAGGTGTTTTTAACATAACAAAGAAACAAACAAAATGTTTTAATAAATGTTAATGAGTCAAAAACATACTAATTTCTAACAAAATTCACAATTGGAGATCCATTTCCTCATAGCCAGGCAATAACAGACCACCAAGAACAGCAAAGCTTTGTGTTGCTGTTACTAAGCAGCATTTTTCTTGGTAGGGATTTGAGCTTTACTTCTGGGCAGCTCAGAAAGCTCCCATTTGAAAATCAGATCACAATGTCTGGCCGAGGTCTGATTGCCCTGCATGAAAATGTCTGCCTTTGCTAATTGGTCTCCAGTGTGGGACAGACGATGTGTAGTTAATCATTCAAGAAGCTTGTTAGGCTCACACCATATTCATTGTTACATTTGCTGATCTCTTATGTGCTTGAAAATGCTGTACAGCCTCTCCTCAATAATAGTGGGGAAGTAATAAAACTAATCAAATTCATTATCCCTCTTCTACATTGGTATTCCTCCATTAATTTTAACAGCCTCATTTGATATATGCAGGTGCACAGGAATTCCAGCCATTGGCTTTGCTGTTTGTGGAAATGGATTTCAACCCAAAAAGATCAGAAAAGCATCTGTGGGCAAATTTGACCGTTTCAAAAATTTTTAAGAGGAATAACTCATTTTTAGGCATTTTGCTGAAAAGGCAACCTAAAGCATACAGACAGAAATGCAGAATACTAGAAAACATTGAATCCAGTGAGAGTTAGTTGTGTGCCTGTGCCTTAGGTTTATGCCTGGCTATAAAAAAATATAGCATTAACGCTGCAGAGTCTCCTGCAAGGACAAATTTGTGAGAAGATACAGGGATGCTGTGATACTCTGACCATTCATTTTCCCCACTAACAGTGGTGGGGATGCTGTAAGCCATAGAATGAGAGAGCAGGAGAAGCCCTTCTCCATGTGCCCACCAGCACAGCAGGTAGAGCCAAGCAATATCCTTGGTGTGGGTTGATGGTGCTGACAGCAGGGAGATGGAAAGGGGCAGGGCACCTTGCTCTTGTGTGGAGACAATCATTAAAATGACAGCGTTCTGTGGTACGTGTGAGAGCTGCTCTGCAAAGAAACACTGGAGTGAGTTGGGCACAGAGCTGTTACTCACAATCTGGGCAATATCATTAGGATGGAAAAAAAATTGAACAACAGGTAGGAATGCACAGCAAGAGCAAAATGTGAGAGCAGACAGCTGTCAGCTCCATTAGCTCGTTAAGGGTGGAGATGTTGGCGTGCTGGGAAATTATTGTCCACTTTATGTCTCGATATTGGAAAGAAATATACTAAAAGAGCCAAGGCAGTTTGAGCACTTGAGCTGTTTAATTATGCCTTTTAAAGTTGTCTTTGAAGCTGCAGAGCAAAGGATGAATGAAATACTCTCTGAAGCTCCTTATTAGTCATTCCTTTCTCCGATGGCAATAATTACGTTGTTCTACATTGGAATGAGTGTTCCTAGTGAATCCCCATACTCCTCAATAACACTTGCAGCAGGGCAAGCTGTGATAATGATGCAGGTAATTAGAGCTGGGCCTGCAGGATCCAAGAGCCACACAGATCAGCTGTAAACGTCCCTCCTGGGCAGAGCATCACAGGCTCATCTCCAGAGGCTTAGGCCAGGTGTGAAATCCTTAGGATCTGGGGAAATTGAGAGCAAATGGTTTGACTGCTGCTCATCTGTGCAGATTCCAAGGGAATTTCCTTCCTTACAGCTGGCCATGTGCAGAATACTAGATGAAACCTTTTCATGCAACCACTAGGAAAGACTATTACCATTCTTTACTCTATATTCCTGTGCAGTGTGCTGCTTGACCTATAACAGACACTAATATCAATTGTCCTGAGTGTTAAACCTTAAAACCCACCCACTAATGGTCTACAGCAAACAACAACAAACAAGCAACCCATAAAATGACAGTGATGTCTGAGCAGCACTTTTCTGCCACTGATGCTACATCTGGCATTGGCAAAGCAAGACTGCACCGAAGCCACATCTTGCAGAGCACCTGCACATGGCAGCAGCACAGCAGATTGCAGTGAGATTTTCTCTGGCAGCACCTGACACAAGCATGAATAATAAAGGTCCTCGTTAATCGTTTACAGCCTTGCTGCTCCTGTGGATTCATCAGTATTAAAGACTCTTGCTGAAGATTTCCGATCGTGTTGAGCGCTTGGGTTTTGTGCTCGCTGATGGCAAAGGGTGAGGTCTGAGGTTGTGCAGCCGTCCCACATCCCTGCACGGCCCACAAACCACGGCATCAGGCCAAGCACAGGCTGGCCTCGAGTCTGACGGAACTCAAATGGCAGAAGAAAGAGTGAAAGGGGAGTAAAAAGAAACAAAACCCGCATCTTAGAACAGAACTCTCCCTCCATAACCCCACCCCTTTTCAAACCCCAGATGAGCGCAATGCTTGGCTCTGCCTTTGCTCTTGCAGCCCTGCCTGCACCGGCCCAGCACGACCACAGGAGGGGATCGCTGCAGCGGCTTTCCCCAGCCCGCACTGCGCGGACGGAGCCCGGGGCCGTGGGGTGGGCAGAGCCACGCCGGGGTCTGCTTGAACGTGATGTGCCCAGAGCCCGGAATGGACACAGACCCGAATAACTTAATCGTGTGTGAACGACTGGAATAAATGCGGGCACGTCGCCGCTATTACTGAAATCAGGAGAACTGTGTGTAATCACATCAGCTGTGAGGGTCATACGTAGCATGAGACAGTTAGCAAGTTAAATGCTGCGGATACCCGAATATGCAGCAAAGTCAATCACAGCACCAAGATCTCTGCGTTCACGATCATGCATGCAGGACTGGGGAAGGGAAAATATGCTGTGATTTCATGCTCCTGGAGTGCTCCTCTTGACAAGACTGTTTCCCGTAGTGTCTAAAAAAATGTCCTCGCTAATGTAAATAAAAATCATAGAATCACTCAAGACCTTAAAGATCATCAAGTCCAATCACAACCTAACCATACTACCTAAAATGCTTGTCTTGTGTTTTATTTTATTTGTGGGGGGTATCTATCTGAAAGATGCTTGTTTTCCATCTGCAGACCTTCACCTACAGCTCCAGCTCAGGAGCAGTGCCTGCTCTGCATCTCACCGCATGGTTATGCACACATGTAGCCTGCACAAAGGTTGGGAACCACTGCTTTGAGGCAAATATTGGGCTGGGTTGGAAGCTTGCTGAAGTCAACATGACTCCTGCTGTGATTTTATCGGGCCTATCATTAATTCCCTAATGAAGACAGCCATTTATCTTTATTAGATGGATTCTTCAGTGGATTGATTTAATCTAGAAAACTTCTCCATGACAAATTTTCAGAACCCTATGTGCTCCTGGCTCTGTGAGGAGCCCAGCCTCGCCCTCTGCCAAGCATGCTCTGCTTCCCAAGGAGCTAATCAGCCGGCCCATCTCTTCTCAATCAATAAGCATTTATTCTAATTGAAACCAACATCGACTGGATACCGACCAGGAATGTGAAACCGGCTATGGTTAATGTGCATGAGCTGGAGCCTGAGAGCAGGAGGCGACATGACTGTCAATGGGAGCGCTAGCAGGGACATGCCACCCGGCTCTCTGTCACTCTCCAAATGCCCTATTTACGGCTCTCACCAGGGAGCTCTCTGTCTCGCTTTGATGATGAATTAATTTCCTCTGATGGATAAACCTCACAGTCCCCCATTGCAACACCTTACAGAATGCATTGCCTAACGAGAATGGCTCATTAACATATAAATCATGATGTATTTCTTTTTGGCACCACCGGCAAAACAGTGGGCTTAACGCTCCCCCCTCATCTCACTTTTTCCCTAGAGGGAGAACTTTCATTGATTGCTTAATGGAAGGTGGAAAGAGTGAAATCACTTAATTGTGTGACTCCTCTGATGTGCTACTGCTTAGACTTTAAGTAAGAATTCGAGTTCCCCCGTGTGTTCATTGTCTCTGTGTTTTATTGCTGAGTTAAGGTATGAGACTTCTCTGTCATAACCAGTTACAATAGCAGTTGTTCAGGTGTTACTTCACCACGTGTCAGGGTCTGCTGAATACTCTGCCTGCCATGTGGATAAAGCCTAAATTAACAGTGAAGGCGCCAGACCAGGAATCTGTCAGATCTGTACAATCTTTTGCAGAAAGAGCTGCTTGCATCATGCTGCAGGGGATGTGCTCTATCTGCAGAGATACAAGCCAGCCCCAGGCCAGGAGCTGAGCAGCCCCCACCAGCACTGCCCTGTGCTGTGTTCATAAACTCTTTACATATTCCTCCTGGGAAGTACTAGCAAAACACCCTCAGGCACTGAGTGCATTATGTTTAGCTCTGCTGTAAACTGGGTGGGTGACAGTAGGTGACTGACGTGCTCTTTGGGCCTCAGTTTTTCAATCTGAGCAGACCAGATTAGCTGAACTAATAATTTTCAACATTTCACTCACTCAGCCAATGAAAGAAAGAGCTACAAACTCCTTCCATTTCTCCTTGACTGGACTGCACAGCAATTCTGGCTTTTCAATTGGGCTGTCATAGGCAGCTGTATCTGCTGAGCCTGACTTGGATATGAGGACAGGAAGCACCACGCTGTCTGTTGAATGGGACGAGGCCTATCTTGGTGAGGGATGCACACTGCAGCTCCACCTCACCTTTCAATGGAACGCAAAACACAGCCTCCAGCTCCAGCATGCACGAGCCAGCTCACCCTCGCTTCAACCTTCTGTTTACCACCCCTTTGCTATGTTGTGCAGGATTTAAAGCATGGATACATTCTTATTCCTTGTTTTGTGTTTACCTGAGCGAGATGGGTATCACTTTAAT